CAGCAGCGGGGCTTTGCTGGGGGATGAAGGGGGCAGAGGCGGAGGCAGGGGCGGCGGCGGCGGCGGGGCGGGAACGCTGGGTCGCGGAGGGACTGTGCGTGGGGCTGCGGGCCCCTCGGAGGCGGTGCCCAGCCTGGGAGACGCAGGCGGGTTCAGCGCGCCGCCGAGCGCTTTGGTGGGCAGCCTGGGAGAAGGCGCGCGCGAGCCAGGGCCCTGCCCTGCTTTGCCACCTGGAAGTGAAAGGAATTCTAGGTTAGTGCACCAGTAGAGGAAGGAGAAGGCCAAGGTGTCTGGGACACCCTTGGTCACCAGGTCCAGGAGCTGCAGGGTAGAAGGGCCCTTTTCCCGTTCCCATAGAAAGGCCTCGGGTGCAGTAGCTGTCACACAGCCGACTCAGCCGGCCCAGCCCCAAGCCCCTTACCAGCATCAAGGAGCCGGTTCTCCCAAGCCTTCCTATAAGGCGCGATCTCCATTCTCATCTGCCAGCAGTCTCCGGGTCCCCTAGTGCAGAGCGCAGGACTGCTCTGACCTCTGCAGCCCTCCTCATCTCAGGGCCACCCCCAAGGGCTTTTACTCCTACCGCTGGGCGCATCAGCCCGCAAGCTCTAGTTAGGGTCCTCAGGTTACCAACTAGAAGCCCTGGCTAAGGAGGGCTTCCTTCCAGCGCTTTGTGAGCAAGGACTGTCTTACTTTCTGTCTCGAGAGCAGAAGAGTCATGATTCCTTGACTGTATAAGCAGGAGACACTTACCCTTGGCAATCCAAGGCCAGTGAACTTGAACCTTCTAGTTTCACGGGTTTGGGAAATTCAAAGCCCCCTTTTGCAATGACTTTTGTCGGCTTCCAAGGGCTGCCTCTTTCCTGGTCTCCTGGATTTCTCACCCTGTACAGCACCTTGTTCAGTACATCAGCCTGAGCTTGAAAACCAATTCCTCTTCTGAATTCAGCAACAAGGAATTGTTCAGGGTGAGCATTTGTGTTTGGTGAGCTGCATGGGAGTCTGGGGTGTGTCGGGAGGTCTTTGCACTCTGCCCAGCCCTGTACCACATTGCTAGCTCTGGTCTGTATTTCTCTTTGCCTCTCTCTAGAGGAAAAATTCCTCCCCCTGTTTACTGCACAGAAGTTCTGAAACTACTCCGGAAATACAGTCTTGGAGTGTTCTGTCATTGTCCTTTCTCCCTAAAAGAAATTCCATTTCCCCCACGTCAGTGCCCCTATGTTTTATAATCTCCATAACAGCACGTAGAAACACTTGGATAAATGGTTGCTGCTCTCACCTAAAATTTCCTGGGTGCTGCCACAAACAAAACGTAGCTTTCATTCCAGATTATGAACCCCCAGCCTCTGCTGGGGATTCTGGGCTTTTCAGTGCATATAAGTCTCCAGTGTTTACGCAACCAGGTGCTAACTCATTCACTAAAGGATTTGATGTTAAAAATCTGGCCAATAAGGCAGAGAACATTTGACTCTGGGCATCTGATGGTAGGTGGGCAGGACCACAGTACTGTCTGGTTTCCCAGACTGGTGACCCTTTGGCCATGATGTGAACATCACCCAGACAATACTACTATGGAATGGCTGTTCTTCAGGCAGGCTAGTAATGCTAGCATTCCTGTGGTGAGGATCTTCTTTGAGGTGATTCTGGAAGATGCAATGTCTTTGCAGTGGTGCTTCTACCTTTGCTGATTTGATGCCGGGGCCAAAGGCAGGCATTGCCACAAGAGCTAGTACCATAACCAGGAACAGAAGGTCTCAACCCTGCCTTCTCAGGGTTAGGATCTGCAAGCACAAGGTAAGCTTGGAGAGGGTGGCTGTTCCAGGGAAAATATCAGACTGGCAATGCTGGCCCAAGAAAAGGCCATGGTTATAGTAAGCTACAAATACAGTGTGGGGTTTTGCTCTGAAAATGACCCCTTCAGCATTGCAGGCTGGAATTGGCAAAGAAATTCATTGTAGTGTCTGCTGTGGTTGAGAGTAGTAATATAATCAGAAGCCATTTGGGGAAGGGGTTTGTTATTTAAAACTGAGCTACTCGGGGAATCACAAACTGTCACAGTCTCTGGGGTCACCCTGCCACAGTGAGATAGCTCTTTGCCCTGACTGGTGGGAGACAGTCATGGAGAGGAGGCAGGCCTACTTCAAGCACAGAGCTTAGTGGTCTGTTTGTTTTTCCCATCTGCCAGTATGAACAAGGAGATACCTTAGCTTGTAGAGTTGCCATATCCTGGGGTATATGGACAGAGGGACCTCTGGAGAAGGGGGCATGTCATGAGCCCATAGACCATAAAGCTAGTCGGAGATAACCTAGGGTCATATGGAAGGGCACCAACACTAAAAACTGCTGGAGTGAATACAGCCCCAAGGCAGATAGCATACCACTCACTGGCCCTGCCCAGGAGTAGGACTCAGCATTCACACACACTCAAACTGGGCATGCAAACAAAATAGACCCTAGCTGTGATTCACTGTCCTCGCCCATATCTGGCAGATCCCAATAGCACAGGCCTGGAGATAGACCACGCACCTGAACAAGTAGAGGAAGTTTTTGAACTCATTCCTCTGTTTGTTTTGTTTTTGTTTCTTTTTTCTTATCTTTTGCTCTTTTATTGATTTTTATTTTTGTTTGTCTTACCTAATTCTATTGATCTTCTTTTATTCTTTAATTTGATTTTTAAAAGACTTTTCTTCTCAGCTCTTTTCAAATTTTACTTCTTTCATTTTCCCTTCTCTAACCGCCTCCATTTAAAAAATTATTTGTTATGCTTTATTACTGTTTAGCTATTCAGTTGATTCTATGCTATTGCTGAGTTTTTTTTTATTGTCAAGGGTGGTATAGTTATTGCTTTTAGTTGATATTTACTAATTGTCAGTATTTGGTTTGTCTTTGTGTCTCCATTATTATTGCAGATCTCTTTTCTGCTGTTAAGGATGGTACAGTTGTAGCTATTATTGGTTTTTATGGTATGTTAATATCCGTAATAATCCTATTATCATTTCTGATTTCTATTGCTGATGGTGGCATAATTGTTGGTTTTAATTGGTATTCAGTGTACACCAATATCTGGTTTGTCTTTGTGTTGTCAACATTACTACAGTTTATCTTCTCCTCTCTGAGTGGTACTGAGGGTCAAGCCTCTACAATAAAGTTGGGCACTAAGAAGAATTTAAAATGTTATATTGAATAGGATGAAGAGGAGTATAAATATCAAAATACAACTAAATCCAAGGACACATCACGGGGAGACAGAATCTAATTAAAGAGATGTCCACAACAGTGACAGAGCTTCTCTACCCTAACTGATCTTCAACCTACAGTGCAAAAACAATAGATACAGGAGAAAGGAAGGCAACAAGAGGCCTCCAAACCTCTGTAACTCCCCAAAAGCTTATCTAATGGGCACTGAACTAGGGGAAGCTATAGGCAAAGACATAAACCAAATGGTCAACATATTTGAAGAGATAAAAGAAGAAACATATAAGCAAAATGCATAAGATGTTTAATGAGCTCAAAGAGGATTTAAGTAAACAGATAAAAGATTTTACCAATGAAGTGTTTGACAAGCTTAAAGAGGAAACAAATAACAAACTAATTGAGTTAAACAAGAAAATACAAGACATGAATGACTGCTTGGTAAAGAATTAGAAATTATGAAAAAAAAGCAAGCAGAAACATGTTATAAAAAATTCAATGGGAAGCATGGGTAGAGAACTTGACCAGTGTGAGGACAAAGTATCATAAAACAAGATGGACATAGTAGGTCATCAACTCATTGATACCCTAAAATGACAAGATATTATACAAACTGGATCCAACAGCTGCTAGATGAACAAAACAAAACAAAACAACCCCACCTCAGAATTATAGGAATAAAGAAAAAATTAGAAGATGATTAAGAAGATATAAAAATGTATTTCTCACCTGTAACATCCCTCTGGCCTGCTGGTCGTAACACAGGAAAGCCACCAGCAAAGAGATCTCCCAGGGCTGGCGGTGTGCTTCCTCCTCGGGAGTTCACAGAGCCTCCGCCTTCTTTGCTGGTTCCCTTGGAACCTTCAGAGAGAAGAGGCAAGTAGGTGAGGCTCAAGAACAGAGCTGAGCAGCTCGTTCTCACTCCAGGCCATTATCCCCTCTCAGTGTCCCCCTTCCACTTAGTGCCTCCCTGAGCACACTCTGCCTTCCCCCAAAGACTGAGGTGCCTAGGTGTATCTGCTGCCCTCTCCATTCCTACCAAAGAGCTGACCAGTTGTAGCATTCACTCCAAAAAGTAACCAAGAAAAAGATAGCAGAAGACTGCTACTTGGTGAATGCCAGCTGGGGAACTGACAACACACTGAAAATTAGAAAACTCAGGCATGGCAGTTGCAGAGATGTACCCTTTCTCAATGCGGCATTGGAAGGACAACACAGAGAAAAACCCACAGATTTAATTCAGTCAGCCATGTTAGCTTCTTGTCTGTAGAGCATTAATGGAACTGCAAGCAGGAAGTAATGACTTCTGCTTCCAAATTTTCCTTCCCAGTTCCCCAACTTTCAGGCCCTCAGCCCCTCATGCTTCTCTGCACTGTTTCTTTTATGGCACAGAAAGGCTGGGAGCTGGCATCAGTAACTTCAGCCTTCCACATGTGTGTGCTCACCAGCTGCAGAAACGGAGAAGATGTTTGGCTTTGACAAGAACTCCTGGCAGAACTTGTCTACAAGCAGAAGCTAATATACTGAAGAAATTAGGGCCCAGTGCCCATTGGTGGATGAAAGTGGTCAGATTATTCTGAGTATAGTATGACTATTATACATTACTTCCTCACTGGATTGATTAGGAAATGGGTGTTTGAACAAACAGGGTTAATCTGTTCATTGAGCTTGACTACTTAGAAAGTGAGTCTAACCAGAGACTAGTTTTATAAATTATTGTCAAAGCTGAAAATATTTCTTTAAACATGTGTCTTTGTGTATTAACATATATGAGGTACAATTCTATTTTTAGGACTATCCTTGAGAATTATCATCATGCACCCATTGTAAAATATATGAAGATACAAAAATACCTTACATTAATAAATACTCCTACATATATTATTTCAATCTTTGACAACATAGCCAAGTAAGAGCAGGTATTGTTATCTCCCCCATTATGCAGATAAGCATATTGAGCCTCAGAGTGATTTTCTGATATCCCTGGTAGCAGCAGTAGACCTCAGCACAGGTTGTCTGACCCATGCTCAGGACTACTTTTTCTCTGTCATGCTCTAGAAGACAGAAGGCTGCAGGCATATGATCCCTTGAGACAGGATTCTGAATCTTTATTTTTCTTGTGAAAAATGAAACAGAAACTGCATCTTAAAATACTGAGACTATCAGATTCTATTATTAAATTTGAAGACTATATTGACACAGAGTAAATGATCTTTAATGCTACTCTATAACAGGTACAAAATGAGCTATATCCATCCATACATGAAATTATATGGAAAAAGGAATGATGTGCTGATGGAGTTTCATTTCATGACACGGATGAAGCTTAAAAATATTATGCTAAGGGAGAAAAGCCAGCCACAAAATGCCACTTATAATATGATTCCAGTCTTGTGAAATATCCAGAATAGATAAGCCCTTAGAAATAGAAAGACTAGTGGGTAAGGGCTGAGAAGAATAGAAAGTGATTGCTGATGGGTATGGGGTTTCCTTGTGGGGTAGTGGAAATGTCTGGAACATGCTTGGTCACAAAAACATTGTGAATATACTAAATGGATATATTAAGATGGTAAAAATGATGAATTTTGTTATGCGTATTTTACCACAATAGAAATTACCCCACTGTGGATTTTTTTATATTTTATTTTTAAGCAAAAGTGATGGAAGGTATATGCACAGGTCTACACCTTCTGCAAACCTGAAAAGGAAGTTCTGATTTTCTTGCCCACTTGGTCTGTCCAGGAAGCAGGTCTGAGGTGGCCTGGGTGTATCTTGGGTCACAACTGCAGCCCAACCAGGGATGTCTGGTTGTGCTCCACATACCCACCTTGCCCTTGAATCATCGCAGGCCTGATGGAGCTGCTCACTTACTTTCAATGTGTGGGGCACTGCGGTCATTGATCTGCGTGACTTTTCGCAGGCGGGTTCCTTGCTGAATATCAGCCAACAGCGCACTCCGACCTTTTGGATCTGCCTTTCTCAAACTGGAAGTGTCTGTGCTAACCTGTGAGGAAGTAGGAGGGATTTGATTATAATCACATAGAAGATTTACAGATAAGCAAATGCTCTGTTTGCTGGGAGTTTTTCCCAAGGTTGATCTCACACTTGCAGTTACCTGTAAGTCTTGCCAGAGGCTGCCTTGGTCCCTACCCACGCCTCTTTCCTTGGAACCCAGAATGGACTCTTTTAGATGGACCAGGCCAAATGCTCATCTGGTGCATATAAGCCTGGAAGTGTCAGCAAGCCCTCTATCATAGGTCCTCTCCCCCTTCCTAGGTAAGCACCACTGGTACACTTGAGTTTCCATTCTGTGAATACCTGGCCCTGCCACAGGTTCTGAATGTTCACCCTGGCTGGTGTTGCACGGTGCTCCAGACCAAATCCTTGGCTGTCCCCAGCTTGTTGATGGGAATGGTTCCTATGTCCTGCTTGGTCCTGGACCATTCTGAGCAGTACCAAGGTCTTACTTGGTCCTTTGATGCTCGCTTCCTCTTTCGGCTGGGTCTGAGGTGCTCCATGATGGGTCCATCATTTCTTTTAACTGAAACAGATTTGGGCTGTGGGAGCTACCACTGAGGGAGAAATGTTGACTTTCATGTAATCTTGGAGCAGAGGGGAGAACTAGGGAACTCAACAGAAACTGGGGCCCAGAAGTGTCAGAGAATTGGGAAGAAAGAGAAGGCAAGGGCTTTAGTAACTATTGAGTGATTGCTTGTTTACAAAACCTTATCAATTTAGAGGGACCTGGCCTTCCTTTCACAGAGAAGGAATCCAAGACTATGAATTCATCTGTTTAAGATCATAGCCTTGGGGGGCTGGGGATTTAGCTTAGCGGCACAGCGCCTGCCTGGCAAGCACAAGGTGGTGAGTTCAATTCCCGGTACTGGAAAAAAACAAAACAAAACAAAACAAAACAAAACAAAACAAAACAAAAAGGTCATAGCATTGGTTTTCTCTCCAAATGAGCTGAATCCCAAAGGCTATGTACTTTTCACTTTGCAGCACGAGGAATCAGGGGCACATACCATCCATAGGATATATGGCCTAGAGACTGCAAAAATAATTCATGAATACATTAGCAAAAAATCTTTTGTCCTAACTCTGCAAGTAGCCCTGAGATCTAGCTGTTTCTCTTCTACTGTAGTTTGAGCTGACATGCAGCAGGGGTTTCCATGGGTCATCAGAACTGGGGAGTGCCAGAAGAAATGAATGGCAAGTTGGCCAATAGGGAAGGAAGGAGCTGCTCTGGCAGACACAGGCAGTTAAGAGGTTTATACTACACAGCTTTAGAGAAGATTAAAAACTTCTTAAAGTAAGAAATACTCCTTAGTCTCTCCTGTATGGGGAATACCATATGTCTTTGGTCTCCATTCAAACACTACCATGTCAGATGTCTTTTCTGACCCCAAATTTAAATAATGTCAAATATTGTTCTTAGAGTGCCATATTCTTTTTTCTTCAGTCATATTTATCCTGAGATATAGGCTTACATAGCTCTTTGTATTGTAAAATATTTCCATTTGTGGTTATGAGTCCAACGTTCATCACCCCTATAGCCTCCCTATCAGAAAGAGATCCTGTTCTGTCTAATACATTGCCAAGCAGTAAGAGAGGCCCTGGGCTAAGATAGGCTCATTAGGTAATTACTGGATGACTGGGTAAGGGACTGAATGAGTGAGATCCAGGGAGCATAAGACACCTTTCCTGCTCTCAGGGCATACACATGTGCCCAGGACACAGGCACACATTGCAAGGAATTTGGCCACCTATAATCCACATAGGACTGGGCATCTACCATGTCCCACAGAGAGGAAGACTGCAGAGAGCTCAGAAAGAGCTGTGTGTGTCAGGGTGAGCAGGCTTCACAGAGGATGTGAGGCCCTGTGGTCCCTGGAGTGTAACCAAGGTTTACAAATCCTTGCTACAGCCATTTTCTGCTTAGAAAGGACAAAGCAGGCTTGCTGACTAGAAACTCTTAGACTCTGTAGTATCACAGCTTAGAAACAAAGGTCACTGTGGTTTGAGTTAAAATGTGCTGAGCCCACATTTTCACTGGCTTGGGTTATGAATCTTATGCAAGCTTTGAAAGACACAAGCTCTAAAGTCGGGTTCTTGTTGCCTGGAAATGTGCTTTTTGAACCCATAAGAGGGGCTTCTGGATGAGGGTCAATGAGACAGCTAAGAGCTAAGTGGTCCTAATTCTAATTCATTGGTAATATATAGATAGATGGAATACATATCTAAGTGAACACATAAAACAGGATATTTCCCACCCAACATTTTTAGATACTCTACATAAACCATTAATAGGAGAAGTCATTTTAAACTGCAAAGTATAAGATGTTTCAAGTTTCCTCTCATTTTACTTACAAGGACTGAAATAAGGGACCAACTGAAAAATTATGAGCCTAGCCAAAAGGGCATAGAACTTTTTTGTATACATGACATTACAATCTAAGATATGCATTATGGCCAGAGATATGGAAGAGGAAGTGCTTTGTAAGTTTTTCCCTAGAGAGACAAACAACAGTGAATTATAATGGTATTTATGGTCCAACTCAAGAGATGGCCTTGGGGAAGGTAAGAGTTCATAAGGTATGTTCTTCTGTTGGAAGCACTTGGAATGAGGAGATAGCCTTATCCCTCACTACACCCCAGGAGAGGGGTTATTTCACGTAATTCAGACTCAATTTCCTCTTTATTACCAAAATGTAGCTCCAATTCCCGTGCCCAGTATTTCAGGCGGGGTTATGAAAAATGTTGCACTGAAATAATGATTTTAATTTTAGTACCTACTTAGCACATGCCTCAGTAAGTTCCTGACAATATTACATGGCAGATGTGTTGAGGGTAGATTTGTTAATAAACAACTTCCACATCAACAGGAGGCCATGACAACTCACATCACATTTACATGATGTAGTTTAACTTAGTGCTAAATTTAACATTCTTTTTCTTTTATTCTTTCTTTCTTGCTCCAGTATCTACCCTGGTGATTTTCCACTAGAGGGCTCTCCCTCACCTTGCATAATATGGTATTCTACCCTCTGCTCTCCCATGAGACAGGGAGGAGTTGCTAACTGTGGGGCTTAAGTGCCCATATATACTAACCCTTAATGGGTTTCATATAAAAGTATATTTTCAGGGGGCTGGGGATTTAGCTCAGTGGCACAGCACCTGCCTGGCAAGCACAAGGTCGGGAGTTTGATTCCTGGTACCAGAAAAAAAAAACCAAAAAACACCAAAAAAAAAAAAAAAAAAAAAGTACATTTTCAGTCTCATTTGAAGATCATGTTACTCAAAGCAGTCATTTCTCCTCCATCTGCAATATTTCTCAACAACTCAACTATAACTTTCTTTTTAAAAAATCTTCTAAGCCCTAAGAATTCTTGTTACTGTGGTTACAGGATCTTTTTTTTGTCTTTTTGAGACAGGGTCTCACTATGCAGTTCAGGCTGACCTTGAGCTCATTTTGTAGCCCGGGCTCTCCTTGAACTCGCAATGATCCTCCTGCCTCAGCCTCCTAAGTGCTGGGATTACAGGCATGTGCTACCACACCCAGCTAAGATTCCTAAATATTCACTGAATGTTTTGCTTTATGCAAAGCCGGAGCATTGACAGCTCTATTAAAATATATCCAAGGAAGAGAAAACCATTCCCGGATATTTTTTCCATAGCAAGTATATACACCAAAAACAAAAACTAAAAAAATTCGCGCGCGCACACACACACACACACACACACACGCATACACACAAACAAAAACAACAAGACGCTTCAAAGACTACACTGGTTATTTCTTAACAATGGTATTGAATGTGAAAATCTGTTGGGTTGCACACAAAGCTCTGGTTTACTCAGTTTGATTACAACAAGCTTCAAAAAGAAATAGCCCAGGATCCTAAAAAGATATGAGACAGTGGAAGAGATATACTTGGTGAAAAGACTGAAAAACTGAAATGAGCCAGTAGGATTAAAAATAAAAAATCAAATGACAGTACTAACAGAGCCAAAGGTAGGACTAAAAATTGGTGAGGTGCTTATCTTCTTATCTTGATGAATCATAAAAGCTTTGGCACATTGGTTTGTCATATCAACCAGTGAGTCAACCTTCATGCAGTATTGTTTGTGGGAAGGCATGAGAGCTCAGCCCAGAGGAAAACTTTGAAATCCATGTTCTCTGGTATTTGTCACCTTGGCACCATATGGTATTCTTGCTTCTGTCTGATAATGGTTTCTGTGGAAAATGCTGATGAGAATCTAGCCAGTTGATCCAGCTCAAGCAGGTGATTTCTCTTAAACATGATCTAAACTCAATCATTTTAATACATTTTCAGCTTCACAATCTCTCTTGCAGCTGCTAAACCTCAGGTGAGTGCACAGATTTCCAGGCACAGGAGTATGTGCATGACAGCCCTTAGCCTACCTCAGCCTTCTCAGCCTTAGGGCAGACAGGTATCAGCAGCATGGGTACTTGCGGTTCATTCCCAAGTCTGGATCACAAGGATAGCCAGGAGTGCACTGTGGTCCTTCCCCACCTATCATATTTCTGTGGAACACAGGGAGGGCACTTAGGATACAGGACACCCTGAAATATTTTCAGAATAATACAAACTTTTCCCAACTGCACCTGACACAATGTTCCCTGCACCCCAAATATGCATGTCAGACTGTTCAAGGCACATTGTGATCTAACAGTTTTATGTCTCATTTTTAGAAATCTAAATTGTAACTCAAACCCATGGGCCAAAGGAATGGCTCCTCTAACTTCTTTTGCTGAAGCTGAATGTTTTAAACGAAGTTGTTCACACACTCTGAGCACTGACTTGCACTTTGCCACCTCTGCCATCAGGAGGTGAAGCTGAATTAGGGGCTTTTTCAGGAGGGTTTATGGGCTGTGGAGGACCCTGGTTCTTTACACCCATAAAAAGCGTGCCCATCAAGGTTACCTCACTCACGGAGACGACGCTGATTACCAGACGTGGCATGTGCTCTGCAGCCAAA